CCCCAAAACCCCAAAACCCCAAAACCCCTAATGCTGGCATTTAGTACCAAAAAGTAGAAAGTATGTATTAATTTATTTCAATTCATTAAGTTTGATGAATTTTTTAATTTGCTAAATCATTAATTACTAATTCTATCTTATTAAGACTCTCTTTTTTTCTTCAAAAGATAATCATAGATAGCATCTCCTTTTCTCTCATCACTCATGTATAGATAATCTTCAATCTCCTAAGTATCAAGATAGATGATTGATTTATAATCAGTCTTTTCAGTAATTAACTTATGTCTAAAAATATCTCTGGGATTGTTAAATCCAGTCCTAAAATTCTTAGCTCTAAAGTTCCTTATCTCAAAAGCTTAATCCTTTATATCTAATTCAGGCGCATCTAATATCATATCAATGCTGTAAATTTGTCCAATTACTGGTTACTCTTAGATAATTCTATGCTTAATTCCAATCTTGTCCAATTTCTTTTGAAGGATTGTTATAGTCTCTCTCTGAGTTTTGAACTCACCTTGGTCTTAGTATTCTTTTTTTTAGTAGTTTTGGGTTTTGCCCATAAATTCACTATGATAAAACCTTTGAACATCTCTATGCATATATATCTTGCAGAATTCAGAGGATTCTAGGTAGTACAACGACAAAAAAAAGAACTTACAAGTTTTAGCGTCTAATAAGCTAAAATCTTTTGTGGTCATATACTTTAATATATTGTCAAAAGGTAATATCCCACTCTATTATTTCAAGTCTACATCTTTGAAGCACAATTACTAAAAAAACAGCTTAGCTAATTTAAACGTATGCATTCTGTTAAGGTTTTATTCAAAAAATTTATTTATTTTTTTTCTGAGAAGGTTGTCTGGATAAAAAAACTAGTCATATTTCTAAAAGTATGTCTGTAGTCTGAGAATCTATAGATCGTTGAACTTAAATAAGTTTTTTAAAAAATATTTCTCAGAAATCTAATAGAGATTGTAAGTTAATAAGTTTGCATTGGAACTTATGAAGAAAATGTAGAAGGCATCACTAGGATTAATCAATGGACTTTGAATAGCTTCACTGTAAAGCTAATCATAGTCATTAAACAATTGATTAAAACTTTGCTCTAGCTCGACAAAGTATTAAATTGACTTATCTCTAGTTTATATCACAAATTAGGATAGAGCTTCAATCATTTTAATAGTTTACTGAAGTTTTAAATCTTTATCTTAAAGTTCGCATAGCCTCCTGAGCTATCTTTGATAATGTTCAAGCAGGATATATCTATCGCCGTCACAATACTGGTCAAAGTCTTCTATATTAGTACTTTTCATCATTGCTAGCAGCTCATTGAATTCTATATTTTTTTCCCTCTACTAGAGCTATAGGTAGATCATGTTATAATAGTCTTGTCCATTTTCATTTTCAAGCCCATTTCTTTTATTGAACTATTGTGATAATTTGCCTGACTCAGATTCATCATTATCTAATCTATAATGCGTAAAATTACTGGGTTATTACAGTTTAACAGTGTGAGAGTTGCCTATTTTAATTTCATTAACTATTATAGAATCTTTGAACAACTTCTTTGTGTTTGCATTGAACTTTAACTTTGATGAATGCTTAAAAAATGTTGGTAATGGCTTAAAAATATTAGACATTATTATGATTATTAATTTAATACAAAATTTTTAGCTTTCTACGAATTTGTTCTTAAAATATACATAATTCTTTTACAATTGATCATATTTTATAATTTATTAGACAAATATCAACTATCGGGGTTTTGGGGTTTTGGGGTTTTGGGGG